AAAAAAAAAAAAAAAAAAAAAAAACCGGCCCGAACCGGCCGGGCCGGTTCACCAAAAACTGGGCCCGAGCTCGAACCGCCCAGCAGCCGGGTCGGGCCGAACCGAACCGGTGGACCCACCGGGCCCCGGGCCGGGCCGGGCCAAACAGTAACCGGGCCGGGCCGCCCAGCCTGAGTCCACCACTATCTAAAACATACATAAATCTAAAAGTTTGGTTGGCAATGCACAATGTGATTTTTTTTCATTTGCAATGAAACCAAAGGTTCATTATTTTTTTGTTTGAGAATATGATAGAATAAAGCAAAATGGCTCACTAAACTGTCTGTGCTTCTTTGTTACGAAGCAGCAGACAGTCCATGCAATTTTGGACACGATTTTCACTATGGGTCATCCGGAAACAGTCCCTCTGTGCTTTAGTACAGGGGTAAGACTGCGTACATCCGACCCCCCTTACCCCACCGTAAGTGGGAGCCTTTGCGGCACTGGGGTAAATGAAAATGATATGTATAATGTGAACTTGGAAAAACATAAATGAAATAGAAAAAAAAGTGGTATATATTAATACCTACGGAGGCGGCAAATTCCAATCTTGAGTTCGTGAATAGATTAGTAGGATTCTCACTCAGCTAACTATATTAGACCTCAATGTTTTAGGTGTTGCTTTGTTCACCTTATTATTGCTTATTCTGATAAGATCGAGAACATTCAGAACCAATCGAATAGGATTAGGAATCGGTTTTACATTGGACTCGGCATATTGAGCATGGAATGTTCGCACATCAAACATGTAACCTTTCTTGTTAGATTCTCTTCCTCCTAGAATAGAAGAGTAATCGACGAAAAAATATATATAGAAAATGTACATGTTTCATTTTTTAACAAAGTGGGACATGTGTTTCAATTCTGTTATCACAGCAGGGGCATGGCGTCTAACTCTGTTAGAAAATCTAACCCCGATTTTCAAGTCTCTGAAACATTAAAAGAAAAATAATGGGAGGTGCGCCTCGTCAAGGAGACCAACAAACTATCTTTCTTTTTTTTTCCCAGCCACCTTATCGCCAAAAAATCCACCAGAAATGTGATGTTAACAAATTCATTTTTAAAAAATAATCCAAATAGAGCCGAAAAATTCAAAGAGAACGATAGTTTGTTGGTCTCCTTGACGAGACGCATTTCCTAATATTTTTCTTTTAACGTTTCAGATACTTTTGAAAATTGGGCTTAGATTTTCTAACGGCGTTAGACACTTAGACACCATGCCCCTACTGTGATAACGGAATTGAAACACATGTCCCATTTTGTCAAAAAATGAAACATGTGCCCCTATCTGAAAACGGCCCAAACCACAAGTACATTTTCTATACATGTGGTAACTAAAAAGATTAAAGATGTTTTTAATTGGACTGATTTCAATCCCAGACCATATCAAATTAAATCAGACAAGACTTCGACAATTGTAAAGTACACATAACAGACATCATCATACCTAACTGGATCAAACCTAAACTAAATAAACCAGAGCAGATTACTAGAGGAAGTTGGAAGGCAAGTTCGGAACCCTAGAGCACATCGTCTAGGGTGAGGATTTCCGCCGTCATCTTGTTTGAGCAGATCGTCTTCTTCAGCACTTTTCGGCCTTTTCTCTAGGGCTTATTAGCCGCTAGAGCTTTTCGACATTTTTCGAGGAGCAGTTTTGGATTCTGCGTGGCTTTGAGGCATCGTTTGAGACTTTTTTCTTGTTTTCTTCGTGGCTTTCTTACATTGATTCAGGATTGTTCTGAATATGAGGGAACCAAGGGAGGGAGAAAGGGAGACGTCCAGAGGGGCTGAAATTGCGGGGTAGACGGAGGTTTCTCGTCAAGGTATCAATCGAGCGACGGGCAGGAGCCGTGCCTTGTTTGTGTCAACAATCGTAGTGATGGTCCGGCCTCCTCCTGAACCAATGTCGGGGTCTAAAGTCTAAACGAGGTGCTAGGGTTCAAGATATTTATTTTGCTTATTTAGTTTTTTTCATGTTTCGCCCTATTCTATTAGTTTTTATTATTTTGTCATTTGATTTCTTGTTACCATTTATATTGTTAGGTTTGTCAGTTTGTTTGGGAATTTTAGTCTTTTTTATGTCATTGGGTGTGTTTGGATCTATGGAAACAAAGATGGTTGTGTCAAGCCCGTTGCATGGTTAGCGATTCGTGTTGCTATTTCATGGTTGACCGTCTTTAAGTTTGATCATAGGGTTTACAGTCGTAGTTGTTGGAGTTTAGTTGGTGTCAGATTTGTTTTTCCTGTGATTGATGTAATGATCCTGAAACTTATTATATGAATAGAAACAAGTTTCCGTTTAAAAAAAACAAAGCAGATTAGAAAATTTCAATCCAACGAATAACATCCTAAGTTCGGATAAGAAACATTCATATTGGATAACATAATGCAAAAGGACAGGTCTTTTGATATACCTTGTACAACTTAAATCATACTTGGATTATTGTTTTATATGGAATTACTTCTATTGTTTACCAATTTTTAAACAACTCCACGTTAGATCAATCTCTTTGAATTAGCTCATATTTGATACATGATTGTTGTGTGACTTGTGTCTATACTATTTGTGTCTGTCTGGCCAAAATTCTAGCCCTATCGTGTGATTTTAAGTGACAAAAATTTATCCGAAAGGATCTCAAGTGGTCAAGTGGGTAAAGAATATAATTGAAATTTTATGGTCTGGTCTGATCTGGATTGGTTTGTTCATGTCTAGTCTCTATATATTTTATAACTGCAGAAGTTTGATTTGATCTAGTTTATTAAAGTCTAGTTTGTTTAAGTATGATCTGGGACAGAAACAAATCCAAGTAAAACATCCTAATAACTACGTAGCACGGAAACTCTCGTGAAAGAGTACGTTTCCGTTTAGAAAACTCAATGAAAAATCAATGAAAAATCTTCAGAAACTCTCCAAGCATGTGTTTTTTGAGCAAAAAATGTCTCGCATTTCCTCATAATGTTCGCGTTTTCGTCCAAGCCTAATAATCATACACAAAATTGGGGAAAATAAAAAGCATGAACTCAATATGAAATTGATACGACACTCATAACATAAAAAAATAGATATTAGTGAAAAAATATGACACCCCATCCCGAACCGATCAGACAGTTTATCTAGTAGAATATAAGTTGAGCTCGATCTCACTCTGATGGAAAAAGTGTAGAATTCGATTTCAAATCATTGTTTGGAGTTTAAACTTTAAACTTAGGATCTCTCCCTTGCAGTGGCGGACCCAGCAGTTTTCTGAAGCGAGGGCACTCCCGCATAGATGGAAATGGGATGGGTTGGGTCGGTCGAATCGGGTGTATCATTGGTCTTTTTTGTCAAGTGCATTCATATTATTATTTTTAACTGGAAATAGTAATCCAATGTCGGCTTGAACATATATGGATTATAGTCTCATTTTGAACTCATTAAGACAATTCTAAACAATTGTATTTGACTTTTTGAAAGAAAGACATAATTTGGATTAGAAATGATTCATCTTTGCGCCATTTCTGATTTTACATTAGAATCCTCATTATTTTTCATACTATAAAATGATCAAGATTTTGGAGCCGAACTAGGATAATGTCGAATGCTACACATTGTGCCACAATATTTGTTGGTACTTGTCTAAAATATAATACTATCGTGTTAAAAATGAAGTATAAATCAAGTTTATGATTTCATCATTTAATACAACTTTATTTAATGATATGGTTCTATATATCTAACTTTTATCATATTATACATAAAAAAATTCAAAGGGCATGTCGGTTTGGAACTAATTTATCGCGAAATGACACATTTTTCATGTATGGACTTTTATTCAAGATAAAAGTCTTCAATCTATTAAGTTCATCCCACATACGGTATTAGAACTCTTGTCATATCTTTGATCTTTAACTTTGGACAAACATTATTCGCTCTAAGCAAAAAATTACAATGCCACTTTTCAAACAAAGTGTAGTAACCATATCAGCAACATGTCTAACTATAAGGATCTGCTCCGTCACAATTTTATGGTTGTTTATAGCTCTTACTGTAATTGTTATATGTCTTCGATGGAGACCTATATATCTAATACTTCTTTGAAATATTGACAATCTGATTGAAATAAAGATAGTGGACAAAAATATGATAGCAACTACCTTAGTAATTATAGTGAGCATGATTGTGTTCAACACTATCAAACTATGCATAATAACTATAGTAATATTTTTGTCCATTAGTTATATTTCGGTAATATTTATGGAGAAACTTCTAATTTTAATGTGTGGGTAGCAGGGGCACAATTTTTAGCTTAAGTACTAATACTAAACTTTGGGGTCGAAAGCGGGTGCACTTGCCCCCCTAGGACCCCCCAGGCCCTCTCTACTGCTCCCATGTGATACCCTCTTCCCACTGCTCCCATGTGATACCCTCTTCCCATAGGGTGAGCTACTCTCCCGGTTTTAGATATTAGTGAAATAACTATTGAATGGTTTCTTACTCAATAACTCAATTCAATTTATATACGATGTATCATGGATTGCAAGCATGCATAATTGCATATTATCGTCCACCTGGTTGGCATGGTTTATGTTATTCATCTAACAGTGGCGAACTGCCACATTTTTTCACCTAATTATATTTGTTAAAAATAACCACAAGCACCGGTCTTTTATTTGCTAGTAACTAGGTGCATAGTTACTCATGGAAAATATAACTTTTAAAAAGTGGGAATCAGTTTGATATCTGATAACTGATTCAAGATTGAATATGTTTTTACATTCATCACTGTGTTTCATTAACATTTAATTTGGTAACATACAGGAAGGACAATGTAACTTCAACTACAGTGAGAGACATGCACAATTGGGGAATTCTCCCTGTTTGCACACATAATGCTTGAAGCAGAAGGCATGGCAAGACTTGCACAAACATTAATCAAGGATTTCTTCTTTTCTTTGATCTTGACTCTTAACTTGCAGCATGCCGGGACACAAAACTCTCAACTAGCGGGTTTACAAGATGGGGAGCCTCATCCTACAAGAGTAGAAACACCATTATATCCATCAACAAACCATTTCTAACTCTGGAGGAGTTTCTTTTACAGTTGCATACTTTCCATACAATATAACAAAGTTGTGAGTTGAGGAACACAAAGATGTATAAATGAAATAAATGTCATCCTCCATTTTTCCCAAATAGAATTCAGCACTGGGTTGGACATGATGCTGCACTTGAGATAAAACACATAGATAGATTGAACCCAATCCGCTAACTAAGATTTTGTTAGGTATAACTTCTGTTTGTTTTTAAATAAAACCACAAAATGTCGTTTTCAGTCTTGTTGGCAGTGTTTAAAATTAACATGATTACTATAAGTATGATTGTAATCATACTTGTAGGATTCCAACCATTTCCACCAATGAGCACTACTACATCACTAAGAAGTCAGATGCTTGAGGAGAGACAGAGAACCTGAGGACAGTGGCCAACATCAGGGAGGACAACGAAATCTTCAACTGTATTAAATTTACTGTATGCTCTTCCAAGCTCTAATGGCTCCCATGGATCCTTGTCTCCACAAGCGACTAAAACAGGGCACTGTAAGAATTGTAGAGAGTCAACACTTAAGTACCTCCATCTCTTTGGTGAATGAAGTATATCAGAAGTAAGAAACTATGTTTACCTTTACTTGAGGCAGTAGTTCTTCAGCAAGAGGCCCTCCAGAGTAGCATATGAACTCAAGAAAGACATCTGCAGCACCAGGCTCAAGTCCTGGACGAAGGATGGCTTCTACTAACTCATTCGTCACCTGGGATGTGTCATGGTAGCACTGCAATATACATGCATTAGATCATTGCTTAGTTAGATTCCCAAGATCAAAAGGAAAGGAACATAAGTGGCAGTTAAAGAATGTGTCTAGTATCAGTTAATTTTGAAGTAACACACTAGTATAACGACCTTAGGTTATATGTATTACTGTTTATGACCTTAAACTCTTACGGGATGAAATTCCAAATGTATGTAATGCATATGCAATTATGCATATCACTAGTCATTTGAAAGCCTGAAAATAATGCGGCTATAGAGATCCTGAAGCATTGCTTCCAGATTGAGATTCTGACATTCCAGGATTGTCCTATATGCATTAACTTGAATAGTTGAATAGAATGAATAGCTCTAAATAACCTAAAACTGATCATTAACATATTTTAACCTTAACAGCTAAGAGCAACACAATATCTAACAGTCTCATAATTCCTAACCTGACAAAGGATACTTCTCACTGATTTGGGTGTGGCAACAGCTTTAAAGAAGAGTTTGCCAATTTCTGTATTCCTGAAGGGAAGTGTTTTGTAAAAATTCAAGGAGAAACGAAACACTTCTTTCACAGCACATTTTTTAAGAGGAGAGCCGTGTTCCAGTCTATTAAATCTCATGAACTGCAGATTCTTTTTTGGTGAGTTAGCCGAAAAGGGAAACATGAAGGTAATTCATACCTCAGCAAGCTCTGGAAGGATCTAATGAACCGCCTTCCATACCAAGGTTGCTTCTTTACATGCAGCATACGGAGGGATATATTTAAAACAACAACACCTTTACATATACCAGGTTCCAACACTGCAGCTTGAAGACCAACAATCCCTGAATATAAACGATATTAAATATAACCTCAGCTATGATACTAAGCAAGTCAAAAAATGTTTGACCAAATTTGACCAAAAAAGGATTTAAAACTTTTAAATGCCACAAATAATGAAATTACAATCAGGGGATGTTAAATGACAATTTGATCATTCAATTCTCTTTATTATGTCTTAAAAGTATGAAGAATGTGAATTTGGTTGGGTCACCAGATACTTAGGAAAATTTGACCCTAGTTGTCTAACACTCTAAGACAAGGTTTACTGAGACAAAGTGTATTAGATGCGAAATTAACAATCTCTTTATTGTATCTTATGTTGAGCCTGAAATTGTTAATTGGGTAGGATAAGATTTTAACAACAATTTTGACATTATTTGAACAATAAATGGAATTAAACCGTTTAGGGGTCAAAGCTGCGTACATCCGACCCCCCCCCCCCCTTACCCCACCGTAGGTGGGAGCCTTTGTAGCACTGGGGTAATGATGATGATGATGATGATGGAGGAGAGGTCAAAACAGAATGAGCAATAATTATTTCTTGAAAGGTACAAGTTTGGATGCACAAAAGAGGGGAAAAGTTCAATTTTACACAAAAAAGGAGACTGACATTTCCTTTTTTGAGAAAATGTTATCTAAATAGTCAAGGAGCATTCCAAAAAAAAATAGTCAAGAAGGAGGATACCTCCAATGGAGTTGCAGATAAAGAAGGCTTTGTCACTGACAACATCATTGCAGAAGTCATTAAGCTGGCTAGCCCATGTCTCAAAGGTGTAGAAAGGATCAACAAATTCACACGGATTTGGTTTGTCTGAGTAACCATAACCAATAAGATCAATAGAGAACACTCGGTGTGCTTGTGCTAGAACAGGAAGGTTTTTCCTCCAATGGTCACTGTTGAATACAAGCTAACTAAAATGCTAATTTGAACACCATAAATTGGCAATGAAGAAATGAGGGGATCAAAATGAAGAGTCATAGACAAATTGAAACCCACATTTCAACCTGTACTAAAAATTGTGCGTGCATGTGGCACATATCATATTACAACTTGAGTAGCATAAATTATTAGAATACACACACCATAGTTATTTTTTTCCGCTTTTAGTCCTCCCACTATTGTGTAATTTACACTTTTGATACCTACTTTCAAACATTTCCACTTTTAATATTCTGACTATTATGAAGAAAACACTTTTGGTATCCGTCTTTAAACTTTTCCATTTTTAGTCTTTTGAATATTGTGAAAATGACACTTTTTGTATTCATCTTTGAGTTCTGTGATTCTGTCATAATAGCTAGAGGAATAAAATTGCCATGGAGAAAAGAGTTGGAGGACCAAAAGTGTAACGATCACAATAGATAGATGACTCAAAGTGGAATACTTAAAAAATGGGTAATAAAAATTTCTCAAGTCACAGACTCACAGTAGTGCAGGGACTAAAATGAAAATTTTCAAAGAAATATATACCAAAAGCATCATTGTCACAATATTCAAAGGAGTAAAGGTGTAAAACACACAATATATTTGAGTGTTGATAGAAGGAAATAATAGTCCAGGCTTACAACATTTACAGGTTTCACAGCAGAGTCACATGCATGAGTATCCAAAAAAAGTGTTTTTAGGTCAAGCCAAGCAACTAGCAAGAAGATACTAACTTGACTAGCTAGTGAGATGAGAATATACTTATATACCTAACTTACAAGGTTTCAGGAAAGAAAAACTGGAAAAACTCTGACTCTCTGTTAAATAGGCAATGCATTGAATTCGTTTACCCTTCCATTTAAGTCCCGAACTTCAAACTCGTAGTAGGAAAATAATTTGATTTTATCACCAAAGACATAAAGGCATTTATAAACCCATTTCATGGAAAATATTAGCACACGATGGATTAGGGAATGTAAAGAATGGAATTCTTGAAAAAGGATAGCATGGATGGAAGGAAAAGGAAATATCATGCAAACATTGCACTTTTTGCCATTAATACCTATATCAAACAGTTTACTAGAAGCAATGTTGACCTGTTTGCTCCAAAACCGTGGAGTAAAACAAGAGCTGGACCAGTGCTCCCAGAATATTGATAGCGGATCGAGTGACCTTTCCACTTCCACACACTGCAAAACAATGCAGATATGTTTTAAACTTCCAATAACCAGTGTTTGAGTCCCACCTCGAACAAGTAAAGATAAAATGATGTTTTAACTAGCTAATAGATTGGAATGAACCTTTTAGTGTGGTTTAGTCCAAGTTCCATAGATTGTTGAGTGACCAAACCTAGCACGGAATTCTATTGGAAGGAAACATTTAGAGTTGGCTGATTTGTTCTTATTTTACTTTGATAGTTGGTTAATTTTAGTAGTATGTCCATTACTTCCTTTCCTTTTTAAAAGATTGGATGATTGAATTAGTTTTGTTAGTGTTGGGCTTTTTATTTTCTCTCCATTTTAGTTGGCCGTAATAGTTGTGCCTTCTTCTATGTAAGGAGCATTTTTCTCCAAGAAAAAGCCTGCAAGTATAACAAAGAAACCTAAGAAGAAAAAGACCCTCAAAAACTCTAGTCTTTCAGTTTTCTGCAATTTTTGGCTCTTCAAACACAAAACAAACACGATAGGGAGCTTTTCCAGCTGTTTACAGCACCCGTTTATGAGAATTTTACCTAGAAATATAACAATAACCATTTCTATTTCTCAACCAATTAGTGAATCTCAGTGTTATGGACTCCTTTTGGGGCCACACTTATAAACGACGCACAAAGGGTAGAGTTTTCACTTCTTTTATTTCTAAGCTAGGTAAAAGATAAAGTACATTCAAAGATTCAGATAAATTTCTTATTGGTTTACTCAAAGTAATCAAACACTAAAAATATAGTTTCCTAATACTAGTATACTTCCTTATTCTAGTTAGTTAATATGGCATTATGGCTGAACTGGGAAACAAGGATATTGTTTCCTAATTCTTGTTTTTGGAGAATTAATTTGTGCGTCTTGACAAGGTTGGGTGCCGATTAATTTAACAATAAGAATAGCTTCATTTAATTCTACTGGTTCTTTTTCTCTTTCCTGATTAATCTCTTGAACGCATCCCTGGACTAGGGCTAGCTCTCGCCTCCTTAAGATTCTGCTCATTAAACTCACTACTCTAAATTGAAAAAGGATGACTTTGGAGCTATCCTATTGGTATTATGCTATTGTGTTTTCTTCTTTTATCACTTCTGGAAACGTTCTGTATAAAAAACTTAGCATCAGCACCTCCAAGATTAAATTAATGGGTTCCATTCTCACATTTTCTTACAGGATAGAATTGATGAATAGATCATTATGATAGCCAACTGGACAAGAACACGAAATTTCATATGGCAGCAATAATAAAATTCTACCAATTTGCAACACACGAATCTATTACGAATTGGGTCCACGCAAAAGGTCTACCATGATAAGGAGATACTTAAATATCTTATATGTGAGAATTTATTTTGTTTGGCCTAGATGATATGGTGACTCGTTTGAGCATACCAATCTTAAACTTTGTGTATACATTGTTTGGCCTAGAAAGAAAAGTTAAAACTTATATACAAATTTAATTGTTTTTTTTGGTCTATGTGAGATGACTTAACCATAAGCAAGAACCTAGCTAATAAAATGGCACCACCCTTTTATAGAGCAAGCCAGTGGTAGGAAAATAGGAAATGCTATGAGCTCTTCATTTCTTCAACAACATAATCAACACAACTGTACAGCTTTCACCATATAATAAGTGCAAAATTGCAGAAGCTACATAAAAGTATCCAACTTAACTCAATGCATAGCGCATGCTGAGATACACCATAGTGAGCACAGCATGGATGAACCAATAATATTTACCTGGTTTTGACCTGAATCTGGGATGGACTGATGTTTGGGGCATCTTCTACAGAAGAGTCCTTGAGTGAACTGAATATACCAAAACTTGACCCATTTTGTTTGGGCAACTTCCGGTTAAGAGTGATAATAGATGTTAAGATTCCTTTCCGGGGCACATGAATTCTTGAGCGAAAAGGGATAGAAATGGGAAAGATGTTCACTTTAGTAGAACATGAAAAGGATAAGGTTGAGGTAGTAGTGGTTATGCTAGTCATAGGCACAGAACGCAAAGAGAGACTCAGAACGTCGAGAATTGCATTCTATCCATCACATAAGAATTGGGGCGTAGGAGGTTTGTAGATGAATCAGGATACAGAATTTTTGTTTGCGGATAATCTACTACACTACATTTGTGGCTGAAACAAAAGGACAAATCATTCTATGAGTATTGAATAATCATTAAAAAGTCATTAAGAAATACTCCCTCCTTCCCTAAATAATCTTTCTAAGTTTCTTTTCAGGTAGATAAAGGATGTTTTTACTTGGACTTAATTTGTCCCAGACCAGACCAGACCAGTCCAGTCCAGACCAGACCAGTTCAGACCAGACCAGACCAGACTTGGATAGTTATAAAAATACAAAGAAACCAGACCTTACCAGACCAGACCAGACCAGACCAGTTCAGACCAAACCAGACCAGATCAGATCAGACTAGACCAGACCAGCAAATTACAGTCCAAGTAAAAACATCCTAAGAAAGTGAAAACTTGATGGTGCTATCAGCAAATTACAGTCCAAGCAAATTACATGACTTATGAATTTTGAGTTTTCACATTGGCATTAATTTGTTTTGATGTAAATTTTGGTGAATCTTGTGTTTCTATCGGTTTTCTTAATAAAAATCTGGTAAACGTCCCCTGGCGTTTACCCCACCGATGGGTGGTTGGCCTTCCAGGGTAAAAAAAAAAGATTAAGAAAGTGAGAATTATACCTAGATTCGTACAAAAGAGAGAGAAATGATATGAATCACAAATTCTTTGAGGACAAGAGAAAAAAGAGATTATTTTGGAAAGAATGAAGAATAAATTCCACTTTTGGTCCTACGAGTTTAATGTCAATTCCACATTTAGTTCACGTCTTTTACTTTGTCCACTTTTGATGCTTTGACTATTGTTATTTGACCATTTGTGGTCCTTTTCGGGTGATTTTAATCTCCGGAAACGGATCATATATGGGCGAAAACACAATACTCATGTATCAAAAGTGGACAAAATGAAAGACGTGAACTAAATGTGGAATTGACATCAAACTTGTAGGACCAAAAGTGGAATTTATTCAAGAATGAAAAATAAAAGTTGGAAAATTAAAATACGGAGTATGAGACAAAAGGAGTAGAAATGATGACAATTGACAAATACGTAATGACAATATTTAACCAATTGGGTGGTGTTAACCGTGACTAATCTTTTAATTATTATTTCATCCCTGAATATTATTTTAATAATATTTTGAAAATTATCCAAATGTATATTTTGGAAAAATACCTACATCAGACATTTTGGAACATAATGATAAAGAAATTTGAATTGCAATACTCAAATAATTCAATGACTTGACCTCCTCCGTCCCATTTTGGTTGTCCTACTTTCCTTTTTGGGTTGTCCCAAAATGAATGTCTTCTTTCCTTTTTTGGATGAAATCTGTGATTCTTATCAATTCACTTTATTCTACTCAAATCTCAACCACAACTTTTACTTTTCAACTACTTTATTATGGGACAACCATTATGGGACGGAGGTAGTAACTTATAAGACCCTTTCCCCTGTCCTAACTTGATTCATATATCAGTCAATTACAATACATGCAGTAACACATCAAATGCTCTTTATTAACATGAACATGAACAGGCATAATGGGATAATTGTTCAAGTACCAAAAACTTGAGAAAATTATACAGTATACACTCATACAATGATACACCCCAGCTTTAAGGAACCGCGCAAGTCACAATAAAATACACAGAAAACAACAACGCGCAAATAGAGAAAAAAAACTCAAGCACAGTGAAAGAAGAAACCATAAAAAGCTCTTCTTAGAGTGGTTGAGGGCGAGACTGCACAATGTAAATGTCTTTTCCTACCAAACACCCTTCAACATCTTGAGGACACCCAAACTTGCTCTCCAGGAAGAAACCAACCGTTCCAAGTTGCTGCCCAAGTTGACGCCTGAAGATGGGGTCCACCGTCAACGGCTTTTTGCTGTAATCCACAGTCAGACGAATGACTTCTCCATCAGCTGGGCCTGAGCCACGTACCACCAGCTCCTCACTGAAATTGGCAAATGCCAATGTCCGGACCGTTGCATCAAATTTTCCACTACAAAGGCGCCAGGGTGTACCCCTTGTGCCCGATGCAAGAGTTTCACCCAGCCCGGACGCAATTTCGGACTCGACAGAATTGCTGTCACGGTCAGTCGGGCTTAGGGTGTGGAGCACAAAGGAAAGTTCGGGAGAAAGCATTTCTTGAACCAGCACAGCCATTGCAGCGTCCTTTTGGGGAACACCAGCAGCTCTGCGACTCAAGACTGCTCTGCGAGTGTAAAGCGATGCCCAAACACGGGCTATACAATTCCCAAACACTATTGGATTTGAAGGACTGACATTGGGGATTGATTCATATAGACCGGCGGCTGACATCCCAGCCAGGTCCTCAACATTGGCACTTGACCGTACAATCAGCCGCGTGTTCCCAGGAAACATTCTTCCCAAGGTTTCAATGATGCTTGCTGCAGGCTTTAGAGATGATACCAACTCTTGGAGCTCATTACAGAGTCTATCAAGTTCCTCAACTTGAGCGGTTTCTATCTGTTCCACAAGAGACCTGAAGGCTTCCATAGACTGGCTTTCTTCAAGGGCCATCTCCATAGACCCAAAAGGTATAACAGCTCCATTAGGCGTTTTGAAGGTAGCAGGGACCCCTTGATCGCTATAAACTGCCATTCAGGGAGATGGATAAGAAAAAAACATTAATAAATCCTGTATTTAAGACTTTAAAATATTTTCGATACAATTGTATAAATATTTAGTGATTTATCAAAATTAACTCAACCCTGAATTTAACCAATCACTATTTTTATGCTACGATACACATTTGTTTAATTCAAATACAATATTTTTCTAAAATTAAAATATATATAACATGTTTCAGGAAATAACAAAGAAAATATAAACACACGATATGATTCTTTTATACTGATAAGACTATGCTTATTTATCATGAAAAATAACCACTTTCAATAACAAAACTACACAGATATGGAGTCATAAATTACTATGAGTGTCCGAATGAAGACACAATTTTGTGGAAAAGGCAATGCAAAGCAACTAAAAATGGCTCACTAAACTGTCTGCGCTTCTTTGTTATGAAGTAATTGTCAGTCTATGCAATTTTCGATGCGATATTCACTACGGGTCATTCGGAAACAGTCTAACTGTGCTTTAGTACAGGGGTAAGACTGCGTACATCCGACCCCTCCTTACCCCACCGTAGGTGGGAGCCTCTGCGGCACTGGGGTGATGATGATGATGATGATGATGAGGCAATGCAAAGCTAAAACAAACAAAAAAACTTCATGAAAGTTAAGTGCCTAATTCATAGCTTGGTAGTACGTCTTTGATGGCTTAACTCATAGGTTATTATCACCTTATAATGCTCAACCGGGGCAAAGGTGTCTATTCTTTTTTATTTTGAGTTTCCAATTCAATAATCAAAATACAATTAATATAAAAGGAAAAATTAACAGTCAACTACTCTGAAGTAATAACTAATACTCCCTCCGTCCCTTATAATTGTCCCATTTTTCCATTTTTGGATGTCCCCCTATTATTGTCCCATACCATATTTGGTAACATTTGTGTGACTCTAATTCATTCTTACTTTATTCCCACTTTATCAACTCATTATCAACCACATAATTCTACTTTTCTTAAAAACCACATCACTCCCTTTAGTCCCAATAATGGTACCATGGGACCCTCAATTGGTTCATCACCACCTTAATCCCAACAAATTGGGGTCGGTAATATGAAGTCTATAATGCAAATTAGGTAGCAATACAACCTCATGCAAAAAAATGGCGCAAATTTATGCCAGATGCTCTTCCAGCATTCCTGCCGCAATTTTCTTAAGAAGAGATTATGAGATGAATAGGTGATTCCCACTTGCATTGGAAATATCATGAGATGGCAATAAGTTGGGATATATGTGATAATCATGTCTCATTCCAAGATTGGTATTGTAGAATCAGATTGAAATCATAAAGACGTCAAATAGTAAATTAAGAGTCCCCAAAGATGGAGGAAGTATAAATCTAATGCAACTATGCATGGAACACCAAATTTCCCTTTACTTCCCAAGGAAAAGATAAACAAAACCGTAATAGAAGGGTGAAAGAAGGTAAGCAACAGCCACCCACCTAAAAACCCAATGCAACCATTGAAAATGCAGCTACAACAATTATGATATATATAGTCACAACTCACAAGCATTGTACATTCTTACATTCCATCGCCCATTCATGTCTAATAAGTATTCATTTGTAAAACTAAATCACCTTTCTGAGAACTCATCGATAGTGAAGCCAAATGAGCGCAGGCAGCAGCTTTTGCCCCAGAATTTTGTAAATCTGCATCAGCAAGTGGCACAACACCTTTAGAAGATGCAACCTGAACGGAAGTACAAGTTGTATCAGCTTGTTAATTGAAGGTAGCATGTAAAGAAATGAGGTGGCAAGCCAGAAGATCAGTTAATTATATATGCGAACTACTTTGTTATTGGGTCTAACTCATTCTGGAGGGATCTCTTCAGAGGTTAGGTTTATCTCATGCATACATACTAGACTCAAGTAGAGCAGATAGCTGATGTGGGATACTCAACATCCCCAGTTCAAATTGACCCCAAAGGGGCTGTCCAGTTATAATGGAGTGGGTGGATAAAACCCCAAAAGGATCCTCAAAAGATAAGGTTTACATCACACTTAAATCATAGAGTCAAATCCATTAGACAACCGACATGAGATACTCAATAAGCATTTTGATTCTATAAAATAATTAGCAACAAAAGATATGCCTACCTGTCTCAGAAAACTGGTAGTAACTGGGGAAGTTCTTTTTTCTGCGGTAGCCACATTTTTCAAGGAATTTTCTGTGGAAATTCCCACAGGAAGGACACTGCTACTGTTCTCTTGTGAAATTGGGGTTAACTTCACACTTGCTGATGATGCTTGTAGCCTGCAAAATTAAGTGGAAATAAAGTTGAAATAAATTTAGAACAAAAAGACGCAAAAACAGAACAGTATTATCTTGTAAAGCATATAACCTGACATATGTTCCAATCAGTCCTTGTAAATTTGTGACCTCATCATCATCTTCACAAGTCACAAATACAACCTTTTCCTGCACACGACAAATAAACAAAGGTTACA